GAGCTTTTGACTAGAAGACAGGAGAAGATACGGGACCAAAAGCGTTTTCTGTATGAGTTACTCCTCATTCTGTGGCAATTTCTGCATGCCACTTGTAGAATTAAGACTCAGAGTCCGGCCAGTGTCTTCATGGAGCCTGTGCATCCCTGCTCCCTGCTGGCCATTCCTTCACCATGAAATGAATAGAAGTCCTTCCATCACCTCACCAAAGGGGTCAGGATACCCCATTCTCCTCCCACATGGAGCCACTCTGCTCTCCCACTTCAGGGCGATGAGGCAGGATTAATAATTGTGATCAATGTGTTTCTTGTTTCCAGATACAGTGTACCAGAAGGTATTTTGTGAGTGTGATATATGAGTCACTGTGGGATGCAGCAGAATTTTTTGGCCTTGCAGCTATGGAGGTACAGTATTCATCTTCTCTCAGCCCATAAAACATGCAGCCCAGGGACATGATGAATATGTTTTGCAGAAGCTCAAGTGGAAACACCAGGGAAGTACCTTGAAAGTGCTTCTAAACAACAAGACATTCATTTTGTTAGTTATACAAAGCAAGACAAACCTTCCAGACCTCCTTACTCCTCCTTCCCCTGCCCCTCCTCGCTTTCCTGGATGATTTCCAAAGTCCCTAAAGAGAGAATTGATTGAGAGCTGGTATTTTCTCAAGCCCCTGTTTTTAGCTTTGGAGCACCCAGCTTAATCACAACCTGTGCCAGTATCTAGCAAATTGATCAGAAAGTCATATCTGGGCATCCAGAGGACACAGACCAAGGGAAAACCAAGGGGCAGGGGGTTTGGGGGCCAAGCACTTTGCAAGAAGTGCCTCATCTTCTGGCTGTGCAGTGAGGGAACTTGTCTGGTGCTACCCGATGAATTATCCCCCACTCATAATTCATCCCATGTCTTGCACTTGTCCCCTGATCTGTATATCAAACCTGTTGGTCCTGCTGCTGCCCAAAGACTGCATTAAATTGGTTCATCAATCATCTGGCTGCCAGCCACAGTCTTGGCAGAGAAAGGAAGCAGTGAATGAATGGAAGTACTGTAAAACTCCAGAGATAACATCATTTTGATTAGGAAAAGTGCTTACTTCTGCAGCCACTTTTAAGGCTGTTAGAATAGCTGTTTGTATTCCTTAATAGTTAATTTAAGGCACTTAGCTTGAAGAGGCTGTAGTGAATCAAGCCCTTTGTTAGGAGGGCATTTGGTTCTTCATTCTTCCACCAGTCCCAGCTGCATCAATCATGATGGACTAGTTAATACCAGGTAGGATTCAGCCCAGGAACATTCATAGCTGGGGCTTTACTTGTCAGTGCAAAGAGCTAATAAAAAGCCAGTACTGCTTTAGTGAGCCCAGAGCTGAGCCTGTGAAGAGGAACTCACAGAAATCCATTTCCAGGCTTGATGTGGATGCCAGATGAGCACACAAGACATATCTTGTTCTCATATCCCGCATGGGGTTTTGCTACAGCACAGGCATCCCTGGCATGGAAGCCCCAGAGTGTCACTTCTCTGTGTCAGGCATCGAATGGGCTGGATAATAGAATCACAGAATGATTTGGTTTGGGTTGGAAGGGACCTTAAAGGTCATCCAGTTCCAAGCCCTTGTCATGGGGGTTGCCAAAACCAAGGGATTTCTTCAACGTGCGCAGGGATAACAAAGACCTGATCCCTGTTTACAAAAACCCAAACAGACCAAGAAAAAAACACTTATTCGTTGCCAGATGTTAACCTATTAAAACTGGCCTCAGTTGCATTTTGTGTAGCAACTGTTTTCCAGATCTGTTTAGCTTAAACCTGCAGAAATGCTGCAGTTTGCATACAGCGACTCTGGGCAGTAATGGGAAGGTTTTGCTAATTAGGGAATAGGAACAAAGCATTTTCTTAGTGATAAGCAAGTCCTTTCAGACGAGTCTGACACTGATGGAGGGGGGCTTCTGCATGGATGAGTTCTCCATCGCAATGGAAACCTTTCTGGATGGAATAAAGGAGGAATATAAGATTGTCCTTCTCATGTGCCCGTACCAACACACTCTACATTCAGAATTTGGTGTAGGAGAGATTTGATTTTGCCAAGTGACGAAACATGCGTTGGGTTAAAGGGAAAAGCCCCAAATTTGCTGGAAACTAGGACTTCAGTGAAAGCCTGGGCCTGTTCCCCAAGCAGAAGATATTCACCATAGGTCTAATCCTTTCACAAATGTCATCAGAGAGCTCATCAAGAATAAAAGCTGTTCTCTGTGAGCAGGTATGTCACTAGGTTGAAGATCCTATAGAAAAAAATGGTCTGTTAGTGCTTGACAAATCAGCCTTCTGAATCCCCTTGGGTCACTCATCATTGGGAAGATCTGACCTCTTTTATTGAATCCAATCAAGGCATACTGTCAAGTTTTCAGATTATTTGACATTTTGGTTAATGGTTCCTTTTCCCTTTGAGTTTCCATCTATTTTTCAGCAACAAAATGCTGGTTTGAAACCGCACAAAGTTTCATTTCCAAGAGGTCAACCCAAAATGTTGCCGAATTTTTCATAGCGTAACGTGACATTTCAGAAATGTCAAACTGAAATGTTCCAACATTTTCAAACTTTCCCTCCAGTTTGAGGTGTGAAACTGTTTACCACACTCTATCCAAAAGCCCAAATAGCTTCAGTGCTGCGCATTTCCCTTCATCTGACAAATCCAGCCTAACTTCAGTGTATAGAAGCCTCTCTGCTCAAGCCTTTTATTAATGCTGCAATGGCTAGCAGATGCTTGGAGAGCTGAATGACCAAGTCATTATAAAGCTTTCTCTGCTTTCCTTGCCATAACTTTTAAGCCACCCTAACAAATACATCCATGATGCCTAAAACTCTTGGGGTTTTTGTGGGAAGGGCTCTTTTTGAGTATTTGGAGGTCCCAGACAAGAAGCTCATGACATCCCTGGTCACTAACTGGTCATCCTTTTGGAATGAGTACCCAGCTAAGCTAGAGGACACGGCAGTAGGAGTATAAACACCTTGGAGGTGTTTAGATGTTGCTGTTTTGACATGATCATTTTCCCCCTGCCTGCAGCCTAGTCTCTCTCTTTTCCAATACATATTGCTTGACATGGTTTCTGCCTGAAACATTTATAAGGCATTATGCTTAAAAAATGAGGTTGATGAATGAGAAGAGACGGTTCTCCTAATAAAGTCATTGATAGAAAGGCCAGAAGCCCTTTTTTCAGCGTGAAAGCTTGTCATTTGGCTGCTGTAAATTGCTCTAAGTAGCAAGATAGCGAAATAAAAGACATAAATAGAGCGATAGGTGACAGTGAAGCAGAAAATGTCCCAGCACAAGGAGCATTTGTGGGGAAATACAATTAAAGAATTATGAATTCCTCGCTCGTTGCAAAGGAACAAGGACTGTCTCAGAACTTACGGAGCTCATATGCCTCTACAAGACATTTCTGGTAAGTGACAGATCTGTTACTGCCTGCTGGGTGACCCTGCTGATATCACACCATTGTCTATAAAAAGGACATCCTCCTTTCATTATGTTGCGAGGCTGAGACCCACTGAAACGGCATTAAGTGGTCTTGGCAATGGGTAGATCGGTCTTGTCCAATTTTAGCTTGCCTTTTCCTGTTTTGAGCAGGGGGTTTGCTTTTGTCTTGGAGGCGTAAGGGAGGATGTGTTAGAAGAACCAGTATTTTAATACTTCTCAAACTCCAGGCATAGCTTTGTGCAGTGGCCATCCCGTTGATGTCCGTGTCACTGTGGGATCATCACAAGAGACATCCATCAGTGAGGAAGTGACTCTTTCTGTGCTCATTATTGACAGCTATACTAACAGATACAGTAAGTCTGTGAGGTTTGCTGTGCTCAAGCCAAAAAGCCTGACAAATTACTTTGGGAACTCCACATGATCAGATTGAATTCAAGGCACCTGCTTGGGTACTCAAAGCTGCACAGAAGTTGTGATGCAGTTGCCAGAGCTTTGGATTAGTCTTCTGAGCTACTGGCAGCCATGGCAAGAGATGCAAAAGCCACTTCAAAAAACACCATCAAAACGGAAACTCCTCTTTTCTAAGCTTGTGTGTCAACCCTCTGATAATCAAGGGAACTGCCCTGCTTGTATGTGTAAGTGTTCATCTGAATTAAGGCTAAAAGAGTGCCTACTAGCTCTGGTTTCCTAGCTGTTTCTCCTGCACTAAAGCTCAAGCCTAAAGTGGGTGCAAGGGAACTGGTGGTATCTGGCCTTGCTATGGGGGTGAACCCTGAGCTATGGGGGTGAACCTTCCACCTACTCAGTGTGGTCAGAAGCACTGCACTGGAAGGGAAAATTCAGCCCCTTTTGTCCTTCTCCAGGTAAGAGCAGACCAACCGTTTCAGCCGACATAGAAGAGCGTTTTTGTGCAAGTGGCACTTCTATGGGGCTTTTCCCTTGTTGCTTTTCTCAGCCAGGCTGGAATTCAGCCACATCAGAGAATCATAGAATCACAGAATGGTTTGGGTTGGATAGGACCTTAAGATCATCCAGTTCCAATCCCCCTGCCATGGGCAGGGACACCTCACACTAAACCATGCCACCCAAGGCTCTGTCCAACCTGGCCTCGAACGCCACAAGGGATGGAGCATTCATAACCTCCTTGGGCAACCCATTCCAGTGCTTCACCAAAAGAGGGTTGTAGCTGTGTCTGGAAGGGACATGGCAGATCCTTGGCTCACAGCCCATAGGTTCACATTCTCATGGGAGGCTGAGCCATCTCAGGAGTCATCATGATGCATGGTATTAAATCCTAGGGTATGTTTAAGCTTAAAGGCACTTAAAAGTACCACTTGAGATGCCATTGGTTCAATAATCATCCTAACTGTGCAAATAACCTCATTCAGCTGAACAAGTACCTGCTCTCCAACCAGTTCACTGTCGTATCCCAGGACCATGTTTCAGCCAAGAAATGAGCATCACATCTTCATTTCCAGGGGAAACAAGTAAATACGTTGCATTGTTGTTGTTGTTGTTGTTGTGTATCTTGCAGACAAACAAAGCAGTAGCCAAGGGGGACTTCCACCATGCAAGCTCCAGCTCCCGGCGAGCGCTCTTCCTGGCTGTCCTGTCCATCACAATCGGAACTGGCATCTACGTTGGGGTGGCCGTGGCTCTTATTGCCTATTTGTCCAAAAACAATCATTTATGAGCCTCAGGAAAGGGGGAGAACCAGCCACCCGGCGCCTGCACTGCAGAACCCCCCAGCAGATCAGACTGCATGACTTTCCACAAAGATGAAGAGACAAACACCTTCTGGGGGCAGGTACAGGATAACGTGGGCTTGTGCATTATTGTAGGGTGGGAAGCTGGCTGGGGGGATAGCTCTGCAGTCTGTGATGCACAAGTCTTGCTTCTCTTCATGACCCCCCCATACAAGAGAAAACAGAAGGAAAGAGAGAAAGAAAGAAAGAAAAGGAAAAGAAAGAAAAAAAGGAAAAAGGAAGTTGGGGGAGGTGTGGAGAGGGGTGTTTGCCTTTTCCTTCTTTGCAATACGGTGTTTACAAGCAGCTGGCAAACTGAGCTGTTCTCTCAATACCTTTTTGGGGACCTGAACTTTGCAGCCAGCATGAGCTTGTGCTTAGTTTGCTTGTTAAGCACTGCACTGAGAGCTGGGAAAGCCTGGACGGTGGCTGGCAGTGTAACAACAGGAAGAAGAATATGTTCTCTTTTGTTTTGAACACAGGACTTACTTGCCTAAGAGTGAAGCAGAGACCTCAGCGTAGAATGGCATTGCCTACTCTTCTTGTGTGGGTAGGTTTCCATGGAAGGAGAAAAGGAAATAAAAAAAGAGTATTCTTTTCTTTCCTTTCCTTGTTTTTGGATTAAGATGTGACCCACAGGCCCACCCAGTGCAGAACGGCTGAGGTTGCTGCATGACTTGGCTCCGCAGACTGAGGGTGAAGTCGAAGTAGCATGAGATCCATTGTAAAACGAATTCCTCCATCCGGTCATATCGTGATAACGGCACATTCCTGTGGCGTATTGCTCACCTGGGTTGCTCCGTCTTACCATGGAGACCTGCGTAGCAGTGCAAGAAACTTGGGGGGGTCGGGGGGGGGAATGCAAACTGAAATACTCATAAATTACAAATCATGGTAAAGCATGGGAATTAACCAGGGGAAAGAACACTTCATACATTTCTGGGGTCCTGCTCGCACATGGAGCGGTGAAGGAGACCACTCAGATCACAAGCTCACAGCTCGGCCGTGGACCAGGGACACAACATAGCCATGGAGAGATGAGGTTGTCCCTCGCTAAGCAGCGCAATGGTACGCTGTAAGGAACCTGAGCACTGTCCTTACTCCACTGGCTGAAATGACACAATTATTTTCTTCCCCAGAATCAACCTTTTATTCATTTCTTTTTTGTCTTACAGATGTACTATTTCATCCCACCAAGGGTGTATCAGCATAAATATATGTGTATCGCCATATACATATATACAGAGAGAGAAGCTGATCAAAACAATAAGCATTTTATGATTCACTGCCTTGTGTTTTACAAACATTTCTTTACCCAAGAATGCCTCAAAGACCTTTGTTTTCCAACTGTATTATGTGTCAGCTTCGCTCTGGGGCAGGATTTTTCTCCTGTTTTGGGGTTTTGCATAATTTTGGGTTTGATTTGACTTTTTTCTTTTAATTTTATGGGGGAGGAGGACAAACACATCCAAAACTATTTTTCTGCTAGTTATACAGTTTATTAAAATACATGGTACACAGCTGCTGATGCTCCGTGTGACACTTTCTTTGGATGGATATGAAGCATTAGGCTTGAATGAAACTTACCTCAGTACCCCAAGATCAGCTACATGGAGAAGTATCCGTATGGAGCATCCCATACTGTACCTGGACCCAAAGACCTGTTGCAGTCATTGGCAGTTCTTTCATATTGAGTTGTTTGGCTTCAGACTAAGCCTGGAGACTAGCAATGTACTACTGCTAGTCATCTAGGGAGACCGAGATGAGACATCAGGCAGGGGTTCTTCCTTGTGAGGGTGCTGAGGCCCTGGCACAGGGTGCCCAGAGAAGCTGTGGCTGCCCCATCCCTGGCAGTGTTCAAGGCCAGGTTGGACACAGGGGCTTGGAGCAACCTGGTCTAGTGGAAGGTGTCCCTGTCCATGGCAGGGGCTTGGAACTGGATGAGCTTTAAGGTCCCTTCCAACCCAAACCAGTCTGGGATTCTGTGATTCCTAGAATAAATGTGCCATGAACTCCCTATTGTGTGTTCAGTCAAATCTGACATCTGCCTTACCCAGATGACATTGGTGTTTCTGAGTAATGCCATGGTGTACTTACCTGTATGAACTAGGAAATCACAGTCAGCTAGAGATATCTCCATAAACTGCTATAGCAATTAGTCCTGCTGTTTAGAGCCATACCATTCAAGAGTGGTTATGAAATGCTGTAAGATATTATTGAGGTAAAACACTCATTATTCATTGTTGGCTGCTTGTTGCTGATGGTTCTTCTCTGTTTGTAACTCCTCCTTTGGGAAAGGAAGGGTTGTGTAACCAGGGAGGAGAGGCAGGGTTGCTACATCTACTGTGAATGATGAATTGGAAGACAGGAGGAAGTACTGACAGGTAAAGACAGCCCCTTGAAAGCTTCCTTATCTACAGATAGACACCAAGAAAATGCCTGTGGGTGCTTTCCTTTTTCAAAGCTTTTGGAAACTGAGGTGGTGTACCTGTCATTCTAGCTTGAACTTATCCCTTAAACCTACCTGTTATTCAGAAGCCATTGCTGCTTATATGCTCCCTCCATGCCTAAAGGCTACTTTACTTTTAGTGAGCATCACTTTTGGGGTACCAGAGTGCTCTGCCCTCCTGTGTTTGCACACAGGGAGATGCTGTTTAGTTTACTGGCATCACAGAGAGAATGGAGAGAATCAACTGGGTAGGAAAAGACCTTTAAGATCGTCAAGTCCAAAAGTCAGTCAGTCTCTCAAAGGCTACAGCTGCCTCATTACTTCCCTCCCTTCCTGAAGTGAGACTTTCTAACCAGGAGACCTGAGACTCCTCCATCAGGAAATGTTAAAGAAGAGGCACTGATATCTCTACCAATGACAAAGTGTAGTGAGAGCTAAGATCTACTATGAGGAAAAATACCCAACCGTGAAGTCCAGGGTCAGAAGGCTCCAGTTTAATCATGGATGTAGGATGCCACTGTGGATTAACCTCAAAAGATACATGAGGAGTGCTGGAGACTCACTGATAGGGAATAAAAAAACCCTCTTTGTGAACGTCTCAGAGCTCGGGAGAACAGAGAGATGCTCAGCAAATAATGTGCTGGGTCAGAGACTAATTGCACATTACGTCTGCTATCTGACAGGATTTCATAACCCCCTGATACCTCCACTGATTCTCAGTGCCTTCAGTTGGGAATCTTCCTAGCCGTGAGCATTTTGTATCTCTCTCAGCCTGAAATGAATGTCTCCCATGCTCCACACAACACTCACTGTCTGGCTAGCTTGCGAGAGCTCCCTGCTGAGGCAAGGAGAGGGCATAGAGAGGCTGCTTGGGAGCATCACTGTAACCCAAGGCTGGAAGAGATGGGGGCAGACACCAGCCTGCCTGCCCATGGCAGTGGCAACCTCTTTCTCTGGGCTGGCTGCCATGCACCCTCCCTCCAAAAGTTGGGGAATGCCATGTGGGGAGCTCCAGAGGGAATTCACAGGCAGCCAACAACCGTCAGCTCCTCTGTAATCTCCTCTTCATTTCTTCCTGCATCAGTGCACACAGTGATGGCTGGAGGCTGTTTCTAACCTGGGGGACTTGTTCATTCAGGAACCACTTTTGATAGAACTTGGCAGAGGGAGTGGACGTATTTAATAAAACAAAGTGCCTGTAAACTTCACAGTAAGGAGCAGTGCAACGGCAGAGATGTACCCAACCGCTGTGCCCAGAGGAAGGGCACAGAGAGGACACTGGGCATTAGACATCAGAAAACACACACTTAGGCTGCTGAAAGCCCCAGCCAGCGGTGGAGCTTCGGTCAGCATGCACAACAGGCCATGATACACACAGGGTCTGCAGGAGAACAGGTTTCATCAGTCTCAGAGTTCACTACACTTGGCTGTTAGCAACACAAGATGAACATTAGCAGAAGGGCTGCACCTAGGGGACCTCGTTATGTTCCTGGTTTCCTAGTAGCCTAGTCCTGGGCCCAGACAACTTCAAATCCAAAACAAGGGGCAGAGATGATGGACAACAAGAACGGGGCCAGTTTTCCCAACTAAACTAATCCAGGCCTTTTCAGCATCCTGAAAGCATCCTCTGCTTTCTGTATCAGGCCAGCACAACCAATGCTGTGGGGTGGTTCCTCAGGCAGCCTGGTCACTGCAGCCCATGGTTCCACTTCCCTTGTGCAGCACAGAACATTGGGTTTTACTTCAGACATCATGGGCAGGAGTCAGTGTTGCAGACACAAGGATCATGGCTGTGTCAAAGGAATGAAAGCAGGAGGTGTCTGCAGTCTATGGTGATATGGTGAGGACATCATATGTCTTTGGTTTGCTGATCATGAGGCAGCTCTGGTGACCCTGCTTGCCTGCAGTGGTCAGCAGGTAGGAGCTACTCCACTTCATGCCATCACATTTCCTTCCTTGGACATGTCCAAGTGTACTTATGGCAGATGCTGTAGCCATTTCAGGGCAGCGGCTGTCTGGGGAAGGAAGCAGAGGGGTGGGAAAGGGCTGTGGGAGACAGACTTCATGAGGTGGGAAATAGGAGAGAGCCTGTAATTTACCACATCCAATCTACCATCACACACTATCTTGCTGGGGTCAGAACTCCCCCTCTCTACTGGCTTGCCTGACCAGTAGCAGGCTGTGCTTGTGCAAAGGTGAAGCATCAGAAGTGATGTACCAGGTGGGTTACAGCAGCTTTCCCTTTCCAACGCAAGGTTAAGTATTCCCATACCTCCCAGATTCAATTTGTCCTTCCAGAAAATTCAGAAGTGTTTCCTCTCTTTCAGAATCATGTCATTTTTTAGTGCCATGTATATATAAAAACGTGCATAAATACATATGCATACATATACAGGTGTCTATGGGCATATATACACATACATGTACATGTGAAATACAGTACAGAAAGACTAAGAGAAATCAATTGACTTGTTCTCCATTAAGGAGAATGCTGTGGATTTCAACACAAAACAGAACAACAGTGATCGATAATGATGTATGAAATGGGTAACAGATCATGAGAGCTACCCTTTGCTGCTTCCCTGCTCTCTGCTTTTGAGTCAGCTCTTTGCTGGGTTTTTAATCCCTGTCACCTTTCTCAATGCATCTTTCGTTAGCATTGGGTGGTGGCAAGCAGATGGGTGTGTAGGGAAGCGGTACTGACACATCCTTAGCAGCATGGTGCCCACTCTTTTGCAGAAGAAGGGACCCAGCCCCTAGGACAGCAGGTCTTCATCCAAATTGGCCATGGATTTCTTCTATGATAAGCCTTAATAGAGTCTATACTGCCCTATGCTTCATCCCCCAACCAGCTCAGTATCTTCCACTGGACGTACTTACTCTAGTTCCTTCCTCTGTCTCTTACCCTGGGGAGTCCCAAACTGAGTGAGATCTCATCAGTCCCAAGTAGAAAGGGCTATAATCACTATAATCACCCTAATCACTCTACTCACTCTGCTGATACAGACCATTAGCCTACTGTGCTGCAGGGGCACCTACTGACTCCTAGTTAACTCCCTCACACACTTCCCAAGTCTGGGTCATTACCTCCCAAAGGCAGGACACCACATTTGTTTTCAGTGAAGGACCTTCACAATGTCCATAGCAATCCATTTCTGCAGCCTGTCGAGGGCCCTTCAAGAGGCATCTCTGCCCTCCAATGTATTGCCTGCTCCCCCAGCTGCTTCTCTCTCACAAACCTGCTGCATGACCCTCAGAAATAACATTTTCTTTGTGTAAAACCAATCAAAAAGACAAAACAGCATGTGGTCTGACCACCAGTTTTTGCTCCCTTATAAGAATTTGCAACTCTTCTCTTTGAATTCCCCCCAAACTGCAAGCAAATTTGAGCACCCAAGGGAATGCGATTGATTCACATTTAGTACTGGGGCCCAATGTCTTAATTCTGACCTAGAATTAGTGAATCCATTATCTTTTAAGAACACCTACTTAGTCCTGGCATATTTGTTATTTTCTACTCATTTGACCCATACCCACGAGGCAAGACTGATCACAAGAAATAAATGAATGCTCACATGAGCCAAGATGCTGGTGAAATAATATAGATTTCCTTTCAAAACCAGGTTCATGAATCAACAGCTTGCATTATTACTGAATTGCTTCGGTTACTTAAGAGCAACTTAAGAGCTGTAACAGAATAACAGCCTCATCAAGGAAGCAAACCATCTTGGAGACCAGGAAGAGCATCCGTACAACTGCTGCCCTGCCAACAGCAACCCACAAAACTGAGCCATTAAATGAGTAACCCAAAACATCTCATGAAGGCCAAATGCTTGCTTGCATGCAAGAGGAAAAGAACTTTTAAGATGACACCAAACAGTGGCACTTCTGGAAACAGTCCACAAGGAGAAGCTGCAGGAAGAAGTTCTATCTGAAAGTTACGAGCTTTGGGAACAATTATTGCATTGAGCCTGGTAGCAGGCTACGGTACTGCAAACTCTCATTATGCCAACCGCCCTCATCACAGCAAAGCTGTGGAGATCCTCTCTAACCAGGAAAGGCTACAGACATGAA